CATCAATGAATGGACCATACATACATGGATTTACTATTATTAAATCATTGTTGAAAAAATTTTTTTCAAAAAAAACGAATAAAAAGAAAAAAATGAAAAAAAAAAAAATATTCACCAATAGTTCACCAACAACAACAACAACATAATAAAACTAAAACTGGACGAACAAAACCAAATGTCCATCATCCGTTGTTGTTGTTGTTGTTGTTGTTCTGGATGATTATTATCTTTTTGTTGTTGTTGTTGTTGTTGTTATGTCTATCTATCCATCTATAAAATGATGACAATACAAATTGACTTTTTTTTGGCAGTGAGAAAAAAAAGATGTTTATTCATTGTAAACTTTTTTTTTGGCTTCAAATCAAATCTTGTTCCAAGAAGAAGAAGAAGAAGGATAAAAAAAAATAATAATCCAACTTGTTGTTGTTGTTGTTGTTATCCAATTTGTTATTTTCTTCAAATTTTATATCAACCACATGTAAAGTTTCCAGAAAAACTAAAAAAACGAAAACATTTGATCAGGTTTCTTTTCTTTTTTTTTTTCTTTGTTGTTGTTGTTGTTGTTGTTCCGTAATGTGCATGATTTAGATTTATAGATTTGTATATGTTAGACCTAATGATAGGTTATATTAATTCAAATGTATGTTGTTGTTGTTTCGTTGTTGTTGTTGTAGCTAGTTGAATTTTTTTTTTTACTCGTTTGTTAAATTTATTGCATCGCCCAATCATCATATAAATGATGATGATGATGATTATCATTTGAGAAAATTTCTTTATTTTCGATCATTTAGCATTTTTTTTACTTTCATTTTTTATCGTTGGTTGGTTGGTCAGTTGGTTGGCTGGGCAGCACAAATATATTGGATGAAATTCATTATGAAAAAAAAATTACTTAATTAATACCATATATATGATGATGATGATGATGATGAAGTTTAATTTATTATTCAATTTAGTGAAAATAATAACTTGTTGATAAGTACCTTAGTAGTTTGAATATGGTGGTTCCATTCATATATATCATCATGTATATTTAAAAAAATTGTCATTAAAAATGCACACACATGTGTGGTCCATAAACGAGAAATTTTCATTTTCAAAATGATAAATTGTATACACACAAGATTTTTGGCTGGGCTTTTGGCCATTTCTTTTTTTTTTGTTTCATATAATAAACCTTTATATGTGAATGAAAATCCAATCAATCGGGTTAATAATAAAGTGGCGCCAGCGACGATGATGATGATCTTGTTTTCTTATTCCATATCACTAGCTTCAGGCCAAAGATGAATAGGTGGATTTTTTTTTTTGTTTTTCTTTGGATATTTATCCTGGTTCAGTTTTGATTATTCATAATCTTTTTTCCAATTTATTTATTGAACAAAAAAAAAATCGAAATAAATCGATACTTGAACCCCAAAATAAAAAGGAGCCAGGAGTGAGTAGGAGAGAGAGAATGATGATTTTTTGAATATTTTTGTTCATCGTTTGTTTGTTTTAAAGCTTTTAGTAAACGATTCAATGAATATTCAATGAGTACAAGAGAAAATCGTCAGAAGAATCGTAGAATCGGCAAAAAAAAATTCATCTTGAATTTGTAATCCAAGAATGATGATGTTGGTGAATCCAGAAAAATTTTGTTTAAAATTCAGATCTCATTTTTATTTGAAACGAAAAATAAATTCACATCGCCTAACTCAAAAATGATGATGATGATGATCATCATCATCATCATCGTGCTACATTTTGTTCAATAATAATGATGTTTTTTTGATGGAATTTTTTCTTAGTGGGGAAAAGGGGTAGTGTTGAGTTGAGATACAAACACACACACACACAAAACAATAACCGGGTCAATATTGGCGTGTTGTTTTTCAATGTTTTTCATTTTTTTTTCTACTTCTTGACATTAAATGGAACAACGACAATGATGATGAAAAGACAAAATTGATCACTTTGGGTGTGGCATTTTTGTTGTCGTTGTTGTTTTTGTGTGTCATTGCTTACAATGGCCATCATTTTATTTCCAATTTGATAATGATGATGAGGACATTTTTGGTCCAAAAAAAAAACGAAAAAAAAAACAAGAGCTGAATTTTTTTCGATCAAAAATATATCAACATTTTTATCATGTTATTGGTGGACTTAAATGGCACACACACACTAAAAAAAAATTCATTTTTCTCAATGAATGGACCACCACCACCACCACATTTGTTGACCATATGATGGCCATAGGGCTTGCTATGGACTGCAAAAAAAATTATCATCATTATTATTATGGTCATTATTTTTGTTTTGTTTTTATTTATTTTTTTTTTTTTTTTTTGGATCATGTATGAAATGTAAAAAAAAAAATTTTTTTTTTTTTTCGGAAATTTTTTTTTCCATTCCAATTTTCTCATCATATTCATATATATATATATATATAGATATATTCTTTTCTATTGTTCTTCCGTACAAACAAACAAACAATCATCATCATCATCATTTTCAATTGTGATGATGAGTTTGGATCACGTAAGAAATGAATTTTCATTCATTTATTTTTTTTCCATTGAAATGGATATATTTATAACTAAAAAAAAAAAAACCTAAAGTGAATCAACCAGTCAACCAACCAACCAATGATGATGATGATAATAATAATAACGATGGTGATTGTGGTTAACGAGCAGTGTTGGTGGTGGTGGTGGTATTATCATCATCATGGTAATCAAGATCATCATCATCATTATCATTACTGAATGTTCATAAAGAAAGAGTAAGAGAGAGAGAGACATACATTTTTATTCTTCATTTCATGAATTTTTGTATTTAGTCCATTTCAGTACAGTTATAGTAAGATGAGAATTAATTTCGCAAATTTTTTCTTTCTTTCCAGTGATTTATACAAACCAGAAAAAAAACCACTGTGAACCACCACCACCACCATCACTGTGTATATTTTTTTACAATGAAAAAAATGACCAACTGTACCTATCTATCTATCTAGATAAAGCTAAAGAAATGGTGATTGGATTGATAAATCAATCTAGACACACAATGCAATATACACGGTGTGTGTGTGTGTGTCATCTAGTGGTTTTTCTTGTGTTAATAACAATGCCATGATGATGATGATCATCATCATCATCTTTGGTTTTCTTATTGTTATTTTTTCTCTGACAATTTAAATTGGTAAAGGAAGAAAAAAAACCTGAATTTTCTTCTTTTTCCAGTATACGATAATATATGGGTTACCGGTCATGTTTTTTTTTCGTGTTACACTACTACCACCACCAAGGTTAAAGTGTTTTGACATTGACACAATGAATATAATTTAATTGTCACCCACATGCACACATACATTCCGTGACATTCCGGTTTATTGTGTTGGTTTGGTTGACTTGGCTGGATGGCCACATCTCTCTTCATCATTATCATTCAAAAAAACTTTTGTTGTAGCAGTATCGATTGAACCATCTAGTTCCAGGTTGTCTTCGATAATGGTGATGATGATGATAATTGCCATAGTGAAGTAATGCCATTGTAGCCAGAATAATTATAACTGTATGTAGTTGAATGAATGAATAAATGTCACCAACAAACAAACTATTTCCGTTTTTTTCGGACAAACAATTAAATTACCATCACCATCATTTTAATTTTTTTTTCTTCCGTCTTTATCTCTTTCTTTCTCTTCATGTGCTGTCCATATTTGTGGTGGTCAACACCCTAACTAAACTTCATGATGATAATATAATGGACGGAGGGTATTCAATGTCTTCGAAATTCACCATTCAGGTTCATTGTCATATTTTTATTTGATTGTGACAAAAAAAACACAAAAATTTCCGGTCAAAGTTGAAAGAAAAAAAACCTTTTCAAATCGATCGATGATTGAGATTCTAACTTTGTGGTTAATTCATTTTGGTTCAGAATTCATTTTGGTTCAGGTTTTATCATATCTATCTATCGATTCGATTAATCACTTGATCGCTTTTTTTTTTGTTTTCCTGAATTGAATTTCAATTCAATTTGTTTTTGATTATATGAATGTTAATTGTGATAGCAGTAGCAGATGGTGGTGGTGGTGATGGCAATAATCCTATATCTGGTCCACTGATTGATCATCAAACAAAAAAAAAAAACATCAATCGAAGATCATTATCTTCATTGAGGCATGAAATTTTTCTTTTTTTTTCGTTCAATTTCATTTCCGTTTGGTTAGTTTTTTGTTGTTTGTTGTTGTGAAAATCAACGATGATGATTGAATTTTTTTCTTCTCGTAATAATAAAAATAAAATGATGATGATCAAACACACCGAATTTCAATTGTCGTCCATTCATTCGATTCGATTCGATTCAAATGAAAAAATGAACAAAAAAAAAAATTTTCAAAATTAAAACTTGAATTGGAATTTTTTTTCAAAGTAAAATGTTTGCCAGAATATTAATAATAATTTTCATCATCATCATCATCATCATCATCGTCGTCTTTTGTCCATTTTCATTTTTTTTTCGGCATCCAATTTTTTTCGGTATCGATTGATATGATTGAAATATAATGAATTTTGATGATCATATATGAAATGAAATAAAACAGATGATGAAATTCATATCCTGTCGGCTGTTCACACATAAAACACACACACACACAGGCCGACAACGTTAGTGTCAGGCGCCATAAAATATTTTTCTTTCTATCTCTCTCTCTGTGTGTGTGTGTTTGTGTTCGTTACATTACTATGGAACAAACCACTATTTTTTTTTCTCTCATGATCTACTTGCGCAACTCAAGATTTTTATGAAAAAAAAGAACGAGAGAAGGAGAGAAGTGAAAAATGTGTTTTTGTGTGTGTGTGTGTTCAGGATCCAGTTATCCCAGCAGCAGTCACAAAATCATCATCAATTCAGTCTTATTTGTGATATCGAATGATGATGTTGATGGTGATGGTTTTTTTTTCACCGTTAAAAATTGAATGACCCGATATACAAGTGTGTGTGTGTGTGTGTGTGTGTGATCGAAAACTACGGCAATTCTTTGTGTATGTGTTTATATGTGTTTCGATGACAACAGTGTTACACATTTGAAATCGACTCGAAAAAGAATTCAGCAGTAATTTTCAAGTTTGAAAATTTGTTGCTCAAAAAGGACTGCTACATTTCCATTGTGTTTCTGTGTGTGTGTGTGTGTGTTTGTTGTGAATTTTCATGAAATTCATTCCGGAAATATTGTTGTTGTTGTTGTGAAAATCAACGATGATGATTGAATTTTTTTTCTTCTCGTAATAATAAAAATAAAATGATGATGATCAAACACACCGAATTTCAATTGTCGTCCATTCATTCGATTTGATTCAAATGAAAAAATGAACAAAAAAAAAATTTTCAAAATTAAAACTTGAATTGGAATTTTTTTTCAAAGTAAAATGTTTGCCAGAATATTAATAATAATTTTCATCATCATCATCATCGTCGTCTTTTGTCCATTTTCATTTTTTTTTTCGGCATCCAATTTTTTTCGGTATCGATTGATATGATTGAAATATAATGAATTTTGATGATCATATATGAAATGAAATAAAACAGATGATGAAATTCATATCCTGTCGGCTGTTCACACATAAAACACACACACAGGCCGACAACGTTAGTGTCAGGCGCCATAAAATATTTTTCTTTCTATCTCTCTCTGTGTGTGTGTGTGTGTTTGTGTTCGTTACTTTACTATGGAACAAACCACTATTTTTTTTTCTCTCATGATCCACTTGCGCAACTCAAGATTTTTATGAAAAAAAAGAACGAGAGAAGGAGAGAAGTGAAAAATGTGTTTGTGTGTGTGTGTGTGTTCAGGATCCAGTTATCCCAGCAGCAGTCACAAAATCATCATCAATTCAGTCTTATTTGTGATATCGAATGATGATGTTGATGGTGATGGTTTTTTTTTTCACCGTTAAAAATTGAATGACCCGATATACAAGTCTTGTGTGTGTGTGTGTGTGTGATCGAAAACTACGGCAATTCTTTGTGTATGTGTTTATATGTGTTTCGATGACAACAGTGTTACACATTTGAAATCGACTCGAAAAGAATTCAGCAGTAATTTTCAAGTTTGAAAATTTGTTGCTCAAAAAGGACTGCTACATTTCCATTGTGTTTCTGTGTGTGTGTGTGTGTGTGTGTGTGTGTTTGTTGTGAATTTTCATGAAATTCATTCCGGAAATAAGACAATTTTTTTTCTTTCTCCTCCATTCAACTTTGATTTAATTTCTGAATTTTAAACTTTTTAATTTGTTCTCAACGTGCTTGTGTACACCTTTATTTACAAATAAATTTAATTTAAATTACAACAACAACAACAACAACAACAAAAACAACCCAACCAAACAGGTACATTACAAGGTGATTTATGATGATTTTTAAAAGCGTGTGCGTGTGTGTTTTTTCATTGTCATGGAAACAGGAATGAAATGTTGTTGTTGTTGTTGTTGTTTTTCAATCTCAAAATGTGATTCATTTCAGATTTGAAATTCATTCACGTTGATGATTCATTATTAGTGAATTTGACCTCGATTTTAACCCTTCTTTGTGTAAATTAACCAAAAAAAAAAGAAAACCTGACATTGACAGTGATTGGTTTTTTGTTGTTGTTGTTGTTGTTTCGTTTAGTATTAATTGGCTTATGTTTTTTTTTCGTGCAGATGAAAAGCTTTTGTTGCTGTCGATGTTTATTCAGTAGGATTTTCCTAGAAAAATTTTTCCTCTTCGCATATACATATTAATATCATCATCGAACACACGTGATTGAATCAATCATTGATGAATTCTTATTCTTTGGTTCCGATGTGAGTGTAATTCGATTATAGACAATTTATCGATCATTGACATTATCAAATGTACATTATGTGTACAGTGTATCGTTATACACACACACACACAAACAGTGTTTCTTTGTCCAATCAAGCTCTAACAAAGCGTTGTACACACATCATTTTTGTTTGTTTTGTTTTGTTTTTTTTCTTGTTTACCCAAAAATAATTTCAGGCCATTGTTTTTCATATCTGATTGATGAACAACAAACAAACAAAAACAAAAACAAAACAGAACGGTAAAATAGAAGAAAATGTTGACAAAAAAAAAACATTTTGTTGTTTATTTAAAGATTTATATTGTAATAGGTCCGTTGTTTTTTTTTGTTTGGTCCATTGTTTATTCAGAAATTTCCGGCCAAGAATATTTTTTTTGATTCTGATTCATTTCATTCATTTTTGTTTTCCATCAAATTTCAAGTATCCATTCAATATTTCTGCTGCTGTTGCTGCTGATGTTGATGTGTGATAAATGTTCATTGCCCTTTCAACTTCCGTCATTGTATATGATAATAATATTAATGTCGATTGATTGGATAAATTCAAAAAAAAAAATGAAAAATAATGATGATGGTCATCATCATCTATCGTTTTGACAACAAAATGAATACGACCTTTTTTTTGTTTGTTTGATTTCTATGTTGTAGAAAAAAAAACAGCAGAACAACATTCATTCATAAATCATATTATACTTAAATGGGTGTATGGTTTTTATATCAATGAATGAATGAATGAATGAATAAAAGACTTTGACCACCGCCACAACCACCACATATGCTTTTGTGAATATTGAACTTTTAACAACAACAACAACAATGACACATTCTTTTATTGATGGATCCATATGGAGAACATATGAAAAAAAAAAAGAAATTTTTCAAATTTCATTCAATGATTATCGTTGTTGTTTTTTTTGATGATGATGATGATGATTGTGGTGGTTGTAGTGGTGGCGATAGTTGTGGTTTGAACAACAACGAAAATCTTTTCAAATTGTCGAGGCCATATTTTTTGTGTGTATGTTGTGGACATGTCTTCAAGCTTGTCATTTGTGTGTGTGTGTGTGTGTCATTGACAAGCTTTTCTGTGATGTTTCCATGTGGCCAGAGATTTGACATTATTATTATTTAGTTCTACATGTCATTATAATAATAATCCTCATTAGCTTTTTGGCCGATTAATCTAATTTTCATTAGTAAAATCTTCATGTGTGTGTGTGTGATCGGTGGTGGTGATGGTGGTCGATAATAATATCGATAATTTTGTTTCATGTTGATGATTTCGGCCTGTGGTCATCACCACCACCACCACCACAATGACCACAAAAACCCATTAAACATCAACGACAAACATTTTTTTTTCATCCGAAAATGATCATTATGAGGATTTTTTTTTCTTTTATATATACAAAAAAAACATAGTAGCTATTATTCATTCATTCATTCATTATTTGGGTCGATTCTGGTTAGGCTAGATTTTCATTAGTATCAAATCACAACAACAACTACAACAGAACCAGATTGGTGTTGACTATGAATAATGATTTTTGATGTGTTTTCATTGTTCCAATGCCATTAACCTTGCTTATCGATCGATTCTAAACTAGTACTGATATGGTATGGTTCGTTTCCTTTTTTTTTTATTTCTCTGTTTCTTTATTCATTCAGCTTGAAAAAAATATGAAAACTTTAATGAATCTACTACAGCAACATTCTGATGTTATTATAGATGGCCATTGAACTTGTTTTTGGCAGTCAAAAAAAATGAAATTCCATGAATATGAAACAAAACAAAAAAAAGTCATGACCATACCAGAATGACAATTTGATTGAATGAAAACAACGATGATGATGATGATGATGGCAACAAAAGTGTGAAAAAAAATTGAATGAAAATTCAATTCATAATCATCATCATGTCCATATGTTGTAAATGTATTTGGTTGTCATTGGACCAACAAAAATGTCGTGTGTGTGTGTTTAGAAAACCATAACTATATATTGTTTAAATGACACATCTGCAATTACACAAACAAATTTTCAAACATTCCATTTGGAATGTTCATTGTTCCATGTGTGTGTGAAATGTCCATTCAAAGAAAAAAAAATTCATCGTGATATATCGTGTTGTTGTTTGTTTCATAATTATCAATTGTAATGTCATATCACACACACACACACACACACGTGCACAAACACGTCACACACGTTTATTTTCAATGGAATAATAAATTGTTGTTGTTATTCATTCTAGTTTCGTTCACATTGGATTCTTTTTGTCTTGTCATTTTATATACATTTGAAAATGAATTAATGATTGATGAATGATGAATGTAGGTAATATTTTGACTTTGAAAATTGGGTTTTTTTTTGCTGAAAAAAATGTTTGATGACTTTTTTTTCTTCTTCAAATGGCCACTGATTTTTTGAATTGATTCATTTGATTGTTGAAAGATAACAAAGAACAAAAGATGATAGCACACACACACACACACAACATTGACAAAACGAATGTCAATTCTTAGATCGTATCGATACCATCGATATTGCGGATATAAATACCATTTGAAAAAGGACAATGACCATCATCATCATCATCATGATGATGATGATGAATTCTTTTTTCAAAAAAAAATTCAATTGATGCGGATGGCTACACACATCATCGTCAATTGAAATTGTAAGAAATGATTGATTTTTTTCCACTGTTTTTGTTGTTGTTGTTGTTGGCTATTTCTTATCATTCTTTTTTGGTTTTTTGTTGTATTTAATTGTTTTCATTTCATTGTTTGTTTGTTTGTTTGTTTTTTTTATTGCCTTGGACATATTGTTGTTGTTGTCCATTCATCAATTCTTTTATGGGTTCATTGCATTTCTGGTTTTTTTGTTTTGTGGACAAAACAAAAATATTCACTTTTTTTTCTTTGTGTGGTCAATTGGCCAAATAACCAACAACAACACAATGAATGAATGAATGAATGAATAAGTCAATCAATCAATCAATCAATCAATTATCATTTTTTATTATTATTTATCGATTCATAAAATTGTTTGTTTGTTCAATACAGAACACACACAGGAAATACAGAACCTCGTATTTTTTTTTCTTTCATTGTTGTCGCTATAGTTTGTCCTCGTGAACAACAACAACAACAACAACAAAAATTCCCAAAATTTCAAATGAGTGAAAAAAACTTGGCTCATTATGGTGGATCAAAAAAAAAAAAAAAATTCACCCAAATGGCCACAGACAAAAAACAGAATGAAAGAGAAAAAAAAACTTGAACCAAATCAATCGAATTGAATCGAATTGAAATGAAATGAAATGAAAAACAACATATACACACACACACACACCAATCATCATCACATTGATTTATTGTTGACGATCATTGATTTTGTGCAACAACAACAACAACAACAACAATTGATTGGATACACACACACACTCGCATTTGGATCATCATTTGGCTTCATTTTTTATTTATTTTTTTTTCTTCGCATTATTGAGATTTTTTTGACACATTAAATCATTGCATGTGTGTGTGTGTGTGTGTGTGTGGATATATAAATTTCAAACACACACATTTTTTTCTATCATTTAAAAATAGATTTCATTTCTGTTATGCGTACAACAGCAACTGATATTTCAACAAATGGTTATTATTTGGATTTAAAATCGATTGAAAATCAATAATCAACGGCACCAACAACAACAACAACAACAACGATTATAGTTTTGGTGTGGTAACAGGGTGAGAAAAAAAAGAAAGAAAAAGGTTTGGTTCACCAAAAAAAAAAAAAAAATTGTGTTTTCTCCATGGTTGACAATCAAAAAAAAAAAAAAAATCCATGTGTTTCGCCACACGCACACACAAACATTCTTTTCATTTATCTTGAAGAATTTGTTACGCCATGTTGTTATAAAAATGAAATGGAAATCTAAATTTGTATCATGAAAATGGGGAAAAAAAAATTTATTGAGAAACATTGACACTGTCACCATAAAAACAAAATATCGATGATGAGAAAATGAAAACGCCAAAAACAAGATTATATTTCGAATAATAATAATTTTCAATCCAATCCAATCCAATCACCAACAATCAATCAATAATCAAACGATATCGATGTCAGTGTATCGAATCAATGATCAATGTAAACGATATTCATCATCATGTTACATACAGATTTAATTCATCATACCGATGATGGTTATGATGATTATTATGATGATAATATCACAGCAACGACCACGACATCATTAACATCATCATTATTAAAAAATACAAATGCCTTATTACAATCAAGTGATAATCAACATAATCAACAACAACAACAATATTTATGGATCACATACGGATGGTTAGCCATTTGTATTGTGACCATCATAGTTATAGTGTTGATTATATGGACAACATTAATACATTATACGTATCGTAAAAAATGGCGTACACTAGACATATTATTAGCGGCGATTCTTATACAAGAATTACCGAATGCCATAACATTATTGTCGATATCAACCATCAAAAGTACATTGATACATTTACCTCGTTCTTCATCGTTTGTTAATTCATCACATCAACATGATTATCATTCCAATTGGAATGTATATGATATTCTTTTGTGGCTATCAACATCGCAAAGATTTTTTCAATTTGCCATCATTACATCATTGATTGTTGATCGAGCTTTTATTATAAAATGGCCATATCAATATCGTTTTTCTGTACGCCATTCACAGATTCGTTTCTATATGATCATATTGGCATTAATATCGGCTGTATTTGGTACATTTGCCGTTATTAGTCATCAAAATTATCAATTTGATCGGTCAAAATTATCGATGGCTACCACAACAACAACAACAACAGCAAAATCGTATGACTTTGATCGATCATGGCCAACACCAACCACAACAACAACAACAAAAACAGTAACGGTAACAACCGAAACCACAACCATTATCGATGATAATAGTACTACGGAGTCATCGTTGAATGGTACTATATCGATTGTAACGAAACCACCACCACCAATGAATCAAACGAGCTATTATGATGATTCAATGATACAATTCAGTTATAATCCAATGATTTATGATATTTATTATAGCTACTTTTTTATTACCATTTATATTGTGTTAACCTTGATTTGTTTTGGTGCATTTCTTTATGTTGAATTGAATCGACCAAAAACTGCGACAATATCGACGACAAAAAATTCTTCATCAACATCGAAAAATCTACAATCAATATCGACATTATTCGCAACAACATCGACATCAACATCGTCATCAACATCATCATCATTGTCGACATCATCACCATCGCCATCTCGTTTTTCATCATTTGCCAATTTGACCAACAGTAATAACAACAACAATCATACTGGTCATCAATCGAACAACAATGTATCAGCTGCTGCTGCTGCTGCTGCTGTCAATCATCAATCATCGATAAAAACATCATCTATACTTCCATCATATTATTATTTTCCCAATGTCAAACATCATGATCAACAACAACAACAACAATTGAAACAAATTATGGTGGCAAATCATTCATTAAAAATCACTGATATTGATGATGGTGATACATTTGATAATTCAAATAAATCTATCCATCATCAACAACAACAACAACAACAATATGGTGATTCATCAATGATATCATTAATGATGATCGCTAATAATGGTGATGTATTACATCATGATAATCATCAACAAATGACAGATGTTAATACTAACAGTTTAGGTGGAAATGGTGGTATTTCCGTTATTAGAGCATCAACAACACCAACACCAACAGCAACAACAAATGGTACATCAAGTACATATGCATCGATGATGACAACAGCAACTGATAATAATAGTACACATCGTTTAATTGATAATGCCAATGTATCAACAAATCAACAACAACAACAACAACAACAACATCATCATCAACAACAACAACAACAATCAAACGCTAGTCGTTCAAATTCCATAAATTTTAATTTCGAACAAAAATGTGCCATCAATACATTATTATGTAGTAATAATAACAATAAAAATTTGATCGGCTCATCAACAAATGGTGGCTGTCCATCATTGGATGTTACTGCTGCTGCTGATTCTTATTCATTCTTGAAACAATCATTTAATCTTCATGGATTATCATTTATTGGTAATAATAATAAAAGTGGTTCACAATTAAAATTAAATGATGATTCATTTGTTGATCATCATCATCATCATCATCATCATCATCATCATCATCAGCATCAACGAATACAAAATTCTGCATTCGATTTACGATGGTCATCGGTCATTGGACCAGTATCTTTTTGTTTTGCATTTAATCATGGTCCATTTTTGGTAAGTTTTTTTTTGTTGTTGTTGTCTATTTTCACTGTCGATTATCATATGTTTTTTTGTTTGTTTCTATTTTAAACTTGCAAAATAAACAAACAAACAAAAAAAGTTTCGCTTTTTTTCACTTGGTTTTAGATGATTTTTTTCGTTGCTATTTGCACTCACTCGCACACACACACACACAAAGTTTTTCTGTTTTTTTTTGCCCATTTTCACATAATCACATCTATTAAATAATTGAAAACATTATGGTTGTTGTCGTTGTTGTTGTTTTTAGAGTTTGACGGAATTTTTCCACTTTCATTAATAACAAAATGAAATTCCAAAAAAAAAAAAAAAATGAAAATGAAAACGAAAAACTTTACATCTTATTCGTTGTCGTTGTGTTCTTTTTATCCATTTGGTGATATGAGAAACACAGAAAACACAGAATACAGAATATGGAATACGGAAAAGATTCCATTATGGTTATTATCGTCGTTATTATAAAGATTCTTTTTTTTTTTTTTTTTTGGTTTCCATTTTCGGCAATAAATGATATCTATATTTTTCTTCATTGTTGATGACATCAAAAAGAATGAAACCAAAACACATTCAACACACACACACACACACCAATAATGATGATGATTGTCATGGCATCGTTTTCTTTTTATTTCACCATCTTATTTGTTGTTGTTACTATGAATTTTTTTTCTTTTCTCCGGAAAAAAATGAAAACTTTTTATTTCCGAATCGCGTGTATGTGTGTCTCTATATGTTTTATGTTTGGCAACATTTTATAGATATTGAAAAAATAAAATGAAAAATTTTAATGGCCAACAACAATCAATCTGTTTGTGTTTGTCTACGACAGGATGATGATCATGTTTCTGTCTGATATTAACCGCAACCCCATTTACCACCACCACCACCACCACCACCACTAGGAGAAAGAAAACCCGAAAATTTTTTTTTTCAATTTAAAATTTCAAAAATTCTATTTCAATTGAATTTTGATTAATGTTATTAATCTACATATATATATAAATTTATCATTTTCAAATTTAATTCAATCAGTGCAATGGTCTGGTGGCAAAATACAACCCAAAAATAGATTGATCACACTTATTGATATCAGAAAAAAATGGCAGATAAACTCTTTCCACTCCACATAATGAAAATCAAGTTCAATTTCTATGAACATGAATGGTTTATATAAATATAGATTATTGGAACATGGCAACAAAAAAAAAAAAAAAAAAAAAATATCCCTCATCATCATTCTTAAGAAAAAAATGATATACCACCACCATCATCATCATTATTGATTTAAATCTCTTCATCAGGATCTTGATAATGATGATCGGATATATTCAAAGATCATGATGATGGTCATATGAAAAGAGAAAATGTCTCTTCATCGTCTGTGTGTGTGTGTGTGTGTTTATATGGAGTGGAAAAATTCAATCTTTATAAATCCATGATAATGATCATCATCATCATTTTTCTGGTCAATTCAATTTGAATTTGAATATGAATGAATGAAAAATTGTTTCTTATCTAAATGATAAAGAATTTTGTTTGTTTGTCTATTTTCAATCATTTTGTTCCATTTTGTGCCATTGATCTCGATTTGGATCTGCTTTTCAATTCCCATTATCATTATTCTCCAGTACAACATTAGACCTTGAATCGACTGTGAATATAACAAAAAAAAACTACAACAATGAAATCCGGATAATCCAAAAAAAAAAAAAAAAATGATGGATATAAATCCATCCATCATTGAATGGAATTGAAATGGATGTGAATGACACACATATATTTATTTTTTTTTACACATCTAAACAAACAAACAAACATTGAACGATGCAGTGTAATAGTGGAATAGAAAAATGGGCAAAATTTGAAATTCAATTTGATTCGGATCGACATACTTTTTTTTTGCCACTGCTGATCTTCTTTTTCTTTTTTTTTTTTTTTCTGGTTGACCAAATTGTTTTTTATTGTTTTTTTTGTTTCTCGGCACTTTGGCAATATTTGAATATCATCAATTACACACACACACACACACACAAGACACACACACGGACACATATCATCGAATGAAAGAAAGATCAAACAATCTGACCTGGCCAACAAAAATATTGATTGTTTGTTGTCGGTTGTAGATATTAAACAAAAAAATTCAGGTTTATGATGGTGGTGGTGTTGGTTGTTGATTGTTGGTGGTTTTTTTCCTTCTTCTTTCACAAATAATGATTCGTTTCAGTGTAGAAAAATGGAAAATTAATAATTTTTTTTTCGTAGGTGATGGATTTAGGTAATTTTTTTTTTTACTCTCGAAGAATTTCCATCTCTGGCCATCTATCTATCCATCTAGTCTAGTCTAGTCTATAGATGTATTGTGATTGAAAAGTAGATCAAATTTTTATCTTCTTTTCCAGTTTTTTTTCACTTTTTTGTTGGTGTCTGATTCAATATATTAATAATAAAAATAAAACCACCAACCAATCAATCAATCAATCAATCAGTCAATCATCCGATTCATTCAGATGATGATGAGAAAAAAAAATAAATCGAACACACACACACACACCATTTTGGTTGAAAAAACAGAAAAAAAAAAATTTGTTCGATCCAGTTAAATTTCAAAAACTTGTCCAAAATCACATGCACCCATCACACACTTACACACCATTTTTTGACCATTGGCCATTCAATGGGAACACTGGAAATTGGAACAAAATAAATGTCAATCAACACATCCGGGCCGTGTGCGTGTGTGTGTGTGTTTCGTTTGGGATTTTTTAAACGAGGAAAAAATTTTTTTTTTTTGTACAAAACATACATATTTACAGTGTTTTAATAATTATATCCAAGACGATGACAAACTCAAAAATTTCCAAATGACATAACCGCGTAGACATATATATATGTGTGTGTGTGTGTGTGTGTGTGTGTGTCTGAGTATCAATGTTGTAATTATTAGTTTGAAAGTAACGAAAAAAAGGCTTGTGTGTAGGTAAGCTCACACACCTGTATTATTAACTTGTCGTTTTTCATATTTCGTTTTTTTTTCATCTTTAAGAATGTTTTTTCGTTGTTGTTGTTGTTGTTGTTGTTGTTGATGATGATGATGATATTTCCATTTCAATTTCAAAAAAAAACAAGTTTCAGGATTTTTTTTGCCATTTTTTTTCGCCAGATTATTAAAAACACATTTTTGTTATACCATTTGTCAATGGTCAATGGTCAGTTTGTGTCTAAAGGCTAGTCATTCGTTTAGCCATTATCATCATCGTCATCATCATCATCAAGATGTGTTTTGACACACACACACACTATCCACTGTTCCACAAAATGATTCGGATGATGATGATGATGATGATTAAATTGTCATAATTTTTGGTGTGATAAGGAAAAAAAGAGAGAGAGAGAGAAAGATAAAGAAAATATGTAAATTACACACATACGGAAATCTTGGCCAGTAGACATTTGACATTTCTTTTTCTATTGCTATTTCAACAACAACAACAATACCGATATAATAGCAAAAAGTCAAGTGTATAATAATAATGATAATGATGAATAATTCTGAAAAATTAAAACAAATGTGTCCGCTCTCTCTCTCTCTGTGTGTGTGTGTGTGTGTGTGTTGATAATGTTTGTTGACATTTTTTTTCGGGGTTACAAAAACAGACAAATAAAAAAAATCAACCGACCATTTCCGTTTGTAGTTGTTGTTGTTGTTGTTGTTGTCATTTCATTATAAATGACGACGACGATGATGATGATGATGATGATGATTTTGACCGTCATCGTTGAAACACATTGTTTCAACAATTTAATCGTACACACACTGACACACACAGACGACTATTTCAATCAAGAAAAAAATCCTCTTTTTTTTCGTTCATCAGAAATTTTTTTTTCAGTTTTATTTTTAGATTTTTTTTTGCTTTTAAAAACAAATTTTTTTTCTCTTGTATATACACGGTAATCACTGTCCTACACACACACACACACACACACTTTGATGGTGATGAACCTGGCTAATTCAATCTGACCTACCTATATAGATAGATGGCCACAGCTAATGACATTGTCCAGCAGCATGTAATAAGATGGTTAACTTCATCATCATCATCATCATCATCATCGCAGCCGTTGATGATTACGTTCGAAACTGGACACACATACTGGACAATCGTTATTGTGTGTTTGTTATTTTTTTTTCACGCAATTTTCAATCATTCGATTGATTGATCTTGAATAAATTTTTTTTATGGATTTTTCATCCATTTAAAAGATTTATTGATGTTTTCAAAAACAAAAAAAAAAAAAGAACCTTTTTAACGAGATGATCACTTGCACACACACACACTTACACACACCTGTCTTTGTCTTTATTTTATTTTATTTTTTTTTTCATTTCATTTCATTTCTCCTTCAATTATTTTGTCATAATTTTCATCGTTTTTTTTTCTTTTTACCATTGTTTCATTTTTTTGACGCGCCCATTTTATCGTTTCAACAACAACAACAACAACAAAACCGTTACAAATGTTCCTTATGCCCTTATATGATGATGATGGTTTTTTTCTCTCTGTGTGTGTGTGTGTTTTTAATCGGTAAATGTGTGTGTGTGTGTGTGTGTGTGTTCGTGTGTCTTGTCTTGTTGTTGTTGGTGGTGGTGGTGCTGGTTTAGTTTGGTTAAATAGTTGAATTATACCACACTGAACATTTGATGTTTTAAAATCGAATCAAAACCATTTTGGTTTTTTTTCCTCTTTTATTTATCTAAAAATAAATTTTAAAAAGTCGAAAATTTTGATGATGATGATGATGAGTTGTACAAACACACATTTGGCCAAAAAACAACCTGTTGTAGTTTTTTTTTATTATTTCGTCCACCACCAATTTGTTTTTCGGTTAATCCATAATGAAACCATTCGATTTTGGCGTTTTAATCTCTGTGTGTTCAATGAACACTGTTCACACATCAAAAGATTTTCATT